GAAGTGAATTTAGTTCATATTTATGGTTGCAAATCTCTCAGAAATGTGGTTGCATTTTTAATCACTGCATATGGCACGTCCGAACTGAATCTTGTTGAAAGTTTTACGCAGAAGCTAAATATGTCCTAAAGACCCCATAAAGTGAGGTATATTTTCTGCATATAACTGCTAAAATTGTCTCAGAAACATTCAGATGATCATTTAACATTGCCTTTTCTTCCAAAATAAGAAAATGAATAAGGAGGTTTTAAGACGAAACACATGTGCTGACGAGCACAGTGTAGGAAGAGAAAATGAAACTAATCTCCCCATGTTTATTTTGGCTCCAGAAAGAAAATTGTGTGGCACAGCAAACAGGATTTGTCCTTCGTTTCCCATCATATCTCAGCAAAAGTGTGTTTGTCGAGCCGTAGGCTTACGTGGAGAGCACCTTTACGATGCAACACCACCTTACCCGTCCTCTTTCTTTGAGTCAGCTAGGCAGGGGTCCAGTCTCCCTGACCACACATGCCAGTTCCCCCTAACCTTTCCTCGCTCACAGTCGTGCACCACGCACACAACTCCCTTCACAGCAAGAGACTGAAGTGCACTCTATCACTTTGCCAAGTGCACTTTATCAGTGTGTCGGCCCGGAAATCAAAGGCAGGTAGGTCATTTGTCCTAAGGCAGCACATGTTTACTTTGAGTTGTTGCTCTCGCACCCACCCACACAAAAACTATACTGAAATTCAAGCAACCGATGTACTCACGGTTCAGTCAGAGAGGCGATTAGGCCTTCCTTCAGTGGCAGTGTTTGAAGAGGGAGGAAATGATCATTTGTGCACATCCTGAAGGGGTAGACTAGTAGAGATACAACAACAAATAAAAACCAGATAAATCCTTCAATGAATTTTACATGAACCATATACTGTTTTTCATTGAAAAACTCAAGAACGTTTTCTTTTTAGGCTTTGTAAAGTTTTTTTTTTAATAATTTTTTTAAAATAAATGTGTAGTTTGTAACTGAAAATTATACATTTATATTATAAAAAGTTATATTACTAAGTATTAGTTTGATACTTCATTACTTTTTGTAATCATATGAAAACTGATAATAAACAATGTTAAACTTCATAATCCTCCTTATAAAATGCTGTTACTTACGCAATGTGTTTTGAAAGTTCAGGGTCGGTGAGTTTTCAATGAAGTCCTTTATTCTTATTTGATCAAAAAATACAGCAAAAACAGTAATATTGTGAAATATTATTGGAATTAAATTTTTACATTTTTTTCATTTTAATATATATTAAAATGTCATTGGCAAAGCTGAATTTTCAGCATCATTACTCCAGTCGTCAGTGTCACATGATCCTTCAGAAATCATTCTAATATGCTGATTTGATGCTTAAGAAACATTTCTTCTTATCAATTTAGAAAACATTTGTCCTTTTTAATAATTGATCAGGATTCTTTGAATAGAAAGTTAAAAAGAACAGCATTTTCTTGTAACAATGTAAAACTGACCTTTTGATCTATTTAATGTATCCTTGCTGAATAAAAGAATGAAGTACTTTCAAAAGAAAAAAAAAATCTTACAGACTCCAAACGCTCACATTTCTGAAAAAAATGCATGTCTACTTTGTGGTCGAAGAAAGGCATAGCATTTCAATAATATTGGCTTTCGATTAGATCAGAGAAATATATTGAAGGAGCCTGAAGGGAAAATATGAGGTTCATTAAAACATTACTCTTATTATTAAATACTTAAATATTAAGGTCTCTGGGACCCCAAATATAACAATAGCAAGTCACTCTCAAAATGAGTGTTCAAAGTGCAGCTTCCTCTGATGTTATGAGACTGCTAGATTATTGCTGCTTTTCTCAGCTCTGCATACCCTCAATACTGAAATCCCTCATATTCGGCTTAGAATCAGAGTCAGGGGTATTTTGCAAAAGTGAGTGTTTGATACCATAGCCAATTTTCTATATTCATTATGTCCTGCTATGTATTTTTAATTATGTCCCTAGAAATGCACAAGTGGGAGTAGTCTTGAAAACAGCAGTCTTTCATTGCAAAAGGGCCTGGCATATATTGGAGTCAGAATATTTTAGAGGTAGGCATGGAGCTGTTAGCAACTGCCCAGCAGCGTCCTAGCAACAACTTTGAACACATTAGCGGCTACCTAGCAGCCATTCAGGACACCTTACTAAGAAAGTCAGGACAACTCCAATGTCATGCCGGTGAGTTGTGCATTGCTCGTATGTATAAATCTAGATGATTTTTTTTTTTTATTGTGAAATTTTTCTTTTTAGTGTTTGGGTAAACATGCATCCTCTTCATGTAAGAGAGCATCTGACATCTGACTACAACAGCACGACTAGACTAATAGTCTCTCTGATGCTGTTATGAAAGATTGCTAAACTTTGCAGGCAGCTTGTTAATAGTCTCTGAAGTCGTGATATTTTCTGCCTCACCATCTGTGGTGTTTTCTTCTCTCTCTCTTTTTTCCTTAGCTCTCCTTCCTGTCAATAATGTCACTTAGTGTTCTGGAGGTGATTTGTCCTGGAGACATTCAGTGGTTTAATACTGACTAGGCAAGAAAAACTCTCAGAATACCAGACCAGACCAGGACGTGACAAGATTTCACTCCTGGTTCATTTTGCCGTCGACCAGCGTCGCAGTTTCCATTTCTCATGGCATGCTTTAGATTGTAACACAGTGAAATTTATTATATCTATTAAACACGCTCTATAACTCGGGTCGTTTAGTCTATCTCTCCTGGTTTGCGATTGGTTTGAGCCAATCAAAAGTTAGACACCAAAATGTCTTTAGAACTGTTTATCTGGGGTGAAAAAACCCATTATATATGTGCATGCAGATTCAAGAATTAACACATGCCAAAAACCAAATGCATTAAAAAGTTTACTTTCTTGATTAAATAAAACAGTTTCTCGCTGATGATCAATAATTTTATTAGGAAATGCAATATTGCATGGTCTAAGTCTATTAAAATGATAATGTGCTCCTCTCTGATTTAAGTGGTTTGCGCAACTTGTTAACACTACAAAAATGTTTTGTTTTGTTAGTTAACATTAGTCAATGCATTAGGTATTGTGAGCTAACAATAAACAACATTTATCAATCTAGGTTAATGGAAATAAGCTGTTGGTTATTGTTAATGCACGTTTCTTCATTATACATTAATAAAAAATATACAACTTAAAATGTATTAGTGTATGTGGAAATTAACATTTAGCATAAATAAAAATACTGTAAAAGTTTTGTTGCTTGGTAATTCATAATATTTGGTGTTAACTAATGTAATTGAATTTAACCTTATTACGTGTAACCTGTGGTTCAAACAAAAGGCATAGAGTCTACTAAAGAAAACATTTGACAAGGCTTTGTGTTCATACCCTTTTTTTACTTTAAAAATTAATCATGTTGTGATACCCGTGTGTAATATACAAAAACAAATATATGAGGAATATAATTATAATGTATCATTATTGTTTGTTTGTTTGTACAGAGAGACAGTATATGATCCATAAATTTAAAAACGTGTGAACAGGATCCATAGTCAAAATGCAAGCAAATCAATTCGGGAATAATATGGAAGGACGCTAAACAATCCCATTGTCATGGGCACAAAAATATATATTGTTTATAAAAATTATGCAAAATACAATTTCATGGCTAGCAAGAATATTTATGGCCTACTATTGGCAAAAACATAATTTGTTCATAATTCATAATCTGTGTGTGTTTTTGCACTGCGCTCCATTTGGATCTCTCAGTAGGGGGAGTCGTCTCTGAGGTTGGCCGCCCCTCTCAGTGAAAACACGCACCCGCTGGCCTGACTAGCGCACAGGGATGTAATGAGTCTTCCAGACACGCTGTTTTCTGCTTTGTTACCATCCTTCCTCACTCGTGATTCATAGCCTTTTGTTTGCAACTGCCACAAAACGGCAAACAAGCCCGGCTTTGTTTTAGCCATTTGTTGTTTAAACACCCCCTGCATGCAGCCCATATGTCATGATATCCACCTCTCCACAACATTTTCACATCTTTTTCACGTCTTTTTGCATCCCCCCCCCCCCCCCCCCCCCTCCCA